CATTAAAAAAAAAAAAAAAAAAAAAAAACAGCAAAACAAGAAACAAAGATTGACAAGTGAGCTACTTGGTTGGAAAATTAGGACTTTTAAACCTTACTTCAAAACAAAATTTTGATTTATCATAATGAAGAAAGAGCCTAATTAGCTACACGAAAAAGATTGATAATATAATGAAATTGATTAAACATAACATATGCATCTCATCCATTTCCCGCTAATTTAACTTAAAATGGGTTAAATATATCTCGTCCATTCATTATTACCTTTATTTAATATTCGAGATGTTTACGACATAGGACGAAATGGAGAAACCTTCATCGTCTCTGTTCCTGCTACCCACTTTAATTATTATTATTATTATTTCGAATAAAATTTTTAATTATTTGATATAATTTCTATTAAAAAAATACAATAATAATATGTAATTACTATTTAGTATGGAAGAAATTCCACCAATGGATATTTTTTTTTGTCAATATCCCAACCAACAATTTGAACGACAAAAAATAAAATGTGGAAATTAATAATAGATTAAGATCTTCCTTTTTGAAAATTTGCGACAAGATTTTGCTTTTCCAAAATTATTTAATTCAATTCTTCCATTTTTATTTCACATATTTTAGGGTTTTACCTTGTATTTGCGTTTAAAATATGTAAAATATTTTAAAGTAATTAATTAATAATTTACGTTAAAAATTATTAAAAATAGTAGTAAAGATGTATTACATTAACTTTTCTTTTTTATTTTACAATAAGACGTATTAATATTTGATTACTATTTAGATTTTTTGAATTAATGTGTGGTAATTAATCGAAGTTGTTGACAGCGTAACTCTATGATCTATTTTTTAATATTATTTGTTATAAGAGAATTTTAAAAATAATAAATTAAATGAAGGGTATGAAAAATAGAAACTCGTCGTATTTTTTAAAAAAATTGAAAAACTATAGGACAAAATTATAATATAAAGTTTGATTAAGTGAATAAATATGGTAAAACAAGACATTGATTGGAGTGGAAGTTGAAATCCATGAAATTACGTCATTCAATTGTCATCATGTTTCCTCTTATAGTATTTAAAAATAAATGATAAATATAATTAATGCATTTAGTAATTAAATACATTAAGGAAACTAAAAAATAAATAAAAAATGGAAGCGATTTCATTGTCATAAGATCTTCAAAGTGTTCCTTCCACCCTCCATGTGACATTATCATTATTGCTTATGTTATAAACTTGGTATTCCTTAACAACAAAATTTTATAATAATAATATTTTTATTTTTATTTAATTCTTTAATAATTACACAATTAAGAAGAGTTATACCCAATATATATATATATATATATATATATATATATGTAAAACTATCTTAAATTTCATCCTAATTAAATTTGCTAGCCACTAATGCAAAATTGTCCTGTATAATTTGATGCTTAATCGTTATTTTGATAATTATAATTAATAATTTAATTTTAAAAATTATAATTGATATCAAATTATTATATATATATATATATATATATATATTTTTTTTTTTTTTACGGTCACCCCAAATATCAAATATTCTTAATTTTTATAACAATTTTAAAAATTAGGATTGAGTTGGTGGATTGACGTGATAAAAAAATATATAATTTATGCTTTATTCCTTCTTCAACCGATATGTGATCTCACAATCTACCTTCTTTAGAAGTCAGCGTCCTCATTGACACACTGCTCTGTGTTTGGTTATGATACCATTTGTAACAATCTAAGTCTAGCTAACGTACATTATCTTATTTAGACTTTCCCTTTTGAGATTCCCCTCAAGATTTTAAAACGAGTTTGGTAGGGAAAAGTTTTCATACTCTTATAAATAATACTCCGTTCTCTCTCCCAACCGATGTGGAATCTCATGATCCACCTCCTTAAGGGCCAATGTCCTCGTTGACACACTGTGCAGTATTTGGCTCTGATACCATTTATAACCGTCCAAATCCACCGCTAGCAGATATTGTCCTCTTTAGTGCTTTTCTTTCGAACTTTCCTTTAAGATTTTAAAATGCGTCGAGTAGAGAAAGGTTTCCACACCCTTATAAAGAATGGTTTGTTTCCCTCTTCCAATGGATGTAAAATCTCATGATTTACCTACTTAGTGGCCAGTGTCCTCATTGGCACACTATGTAATGTTTGACTCTGATACCATTTATAACAGTTCAAGTTCACCGCTAGCAGATATTATCCTCTTTAGCGTTTTTCTTTCGAGCTTCCCTTCAAGATTAAGCAGGAAGAGGTTTCTACACTCTTATAAAAAATGTTTCGTTTTCTTCTCTAACCAACATGGAATCTCACGGTTAAAATATATAATAATTAAGCAGTGAAAAGAAGGCAATGCCAATAAACATCTTTTGGACATAAATAATAATGATAAGAATGGATGCGTGCGTGTGACATATGTTTGATTTTGGCCTCGTTTGGCAATTATGTGTTCATGTGTTGCAATGTCACTGTAATCAAAAGAGAGAAATTTTAGGGTTTGTGAGAGAGTTCGTGGAACCACCGGCAAGACCAAAGAAGTTGGTGATTACGTAATACAAATCTACGTACACACACACACACACAAAAAAAAAAAAAAAAAAAAAAAAAAAAAAAAAAAAAAAAAAAAAAAAAAAAAACC